CCCACAAGGGGTGGGTTCTGATTTTCTAGCCAAAGAACCAAAAATGTGTGCCACGTCCTTGGCAAACCGGGAAATCGAAAAAAATGCACAGTTGCCAGGTAAAAATTCCGAAATTCTGGGATGTTTTCWCGTTTATGTCACTAAACACYTGTTGAAAAGTTTAAGTTCACGAAAAGGGCACAAGGGGTGAGTTTTCCTATACCACTCTAAGAACTAAAATTGTTTAGCGCGTCCTCCTTATGCCGAAAAATAGGCAAAATACAGTGTTGCCATTCAACAATCCCGAATTTCCTGGACGTTTGTGCTTTTACGTTGCAAACAGATGTTTGGAAACTTCAACCTCCAGAAAAGGGCACAACGGTTCACTTTTGGCAAACCCCCCTTAAACGAAAAATGTACAGAACGGCGCAGATATTCCAAAAAGTGCAAAAAATGCGGCGTTGCCGGGCAAAAATCCTGAAATTCGGGGACGTTTTCACTTTTCCCTTGCAAACAGATGTTTTCAAACTTCAACTCCAGGAAAAGGGCACAAGAGTTCACTTTTCCTGTACGGCGCGTAGAACCAAAAATGTGTGCCACGTCCTTGGCATACCGGAAAATCGACAAAAATGAAGCGTTGCTAGGCAAAAATTCCGAAATTCTGGGATGTTTTCACGTTTATGTCACTGGACACATGTTGGAAAGTTTGGGCAGGCAAAAAGGGCACAAGCGATCACTTTTCGTCAACCATCCTCGGGACACAAAACGTGCCAAGCGTCCTAGACATGCGGAAAAACTCCCAAAATGCGACGTTGCCGGGGCAAATTTCCGAAATTCTCGGACTTTTTCGGATTCACGATTCAACATACAAGTTGCAAAGTGCAACCGCGCGAAAACAGCCGAAGGGGTCATTTTTCCCATTTCACCCCCCGAACAGAAAAGGTGGCAAATTCCCCAAGCATACAGGGCGAGCAAAAAAATCGCCCTTCCCTTTGCAAAAATCGCCATTGCCAGGCAATTTACATTAAAACACTCTGAAACTTCTGTTGAGCGCAAACACCCTGTAGCCTTGGCATGGCGAGGCTTGGTTCAAACTGCCATGTTGCCGCCGGTGGCAAAAAGTGGCAGCTGCCAGGATCGCGATGCTAAACCCTTCAAAAGCAGCCAGGGGAGATACAATGAGCACATCTATTTTGGGGGCCTTAAATTGCTAATGTAGTTGTCACAAGCAGCACTCGTAGGGACCTGTTTTGCCGGCCGAGGGACTGGGGGGAGTGGGAGGAGTGGGGGGAAGCCGCCCCCCACTCCGATATGTGAATTAGCATGCAAATGCGAGGCAAAATATGCAAATGAATGCGCGGAAAAGAGTTGGCATCTGTTGCAGTCCGATGCGATTGTCGTTAATTAAATTTATTTGCGACTCCTGATGGATCTTTTTCCAGTTTTCACATGCTGTTCGGAACTTTTACGCTCGTCCGCCGTTCGCCCATTAAAAGTTGCCAACGACTTGCGTTCGCCGTTCGGCTTCGAGCCGAAAACATGTTTTTCTCGCACGTTTCAACATGCGCCGCCTCCTCCTGCACGCGAAAAGTGCCTGTGCAGTTGAAAAGATCGACGATATCATATTTTTGCTGTTTAGTCGGATGAATTTCGTATGCGGCGCGGATTTTTAAAGTGTGAAATATCGACGGGAAAAGACCAAACGGGAAATATTTTCTAAGCTGCCCTGAATACATTCGGCAACCAATTTTTCCCTTTTATATTCTTCAGCGGTTTATTGACGAAATTTATGAGGGGGAGGAATTCGGTCGGGCTGAACGCATCTTGAACTCGAATGTGTTTTGCCGATCTCAATGTTTGAACGGGGTTTTCTTTAACTATCGGGCGGTGAATGGATGGCTGCGCCAGCAAGGGGTTTTGGGGAGGTTTGGGTGAAGTTGGCAACATCGCCTCGCTAATTGCCCTTTGCCATTCCCAGGCGTTTTTCATCAGTGTGGCTTCGCCAGCTTCACCTAAGCTGCACGGGAAAATTCCCCAAAAATACCGCCATTTGCTGTGGCAACACCGCAATTTTTTCCGCTAGTAGCGTTCTCTGGAAACTTGGCAATGTTTCAAGTTCCACTGACCCCTAGGCGAAACTCAACAGATTCGGAGATATTTGGATGTAAACCTACCTCTGACCACTGAGCAGGGTTTTCCCGAGAAATCCGCCAAAGCGGGAGTTTTCCTGCGGCAACGTCGCATTTTTCCGATTTTTCTGGTGCCCCAGGGCATTGGGCCCATTTTTCGTTCGAAGTGTTTCGACGGTTTGTTGGGGGTTTTTGCAGTTTTCCCGCTGCTAAACCTTCCAGAGGCGCCTGACAGGCGAATTTCGTCACGTCTGGGGAAATTCCCGATTTTGACCGGCAACGTGGCTTTTTTGGGCGATTTTATCGGTTTGTGTGGTGTTTGGAACATTTAGGGCCGAACTGGTTCATCTCATCGGTGGCCAAAGCTTTTGCGTGGTTTTTCAGTTGTKGAACTTTTGAGAAACTTTTCAAGTTCACGTTTCGTAAGGTCTGGGAAAAGTCGCGATTTTGCCCGGCAACAGCGCACTTTATGGGCATTTTCTGGTTGTCTCGGATGTTTTCAAGAATTTTTGTCTCTCCTGTTTCAGTCGGATTATGAGTCTTTGTGCGATTTTTTCGGCTTTTAAACTTTCAAGAAGCATTTGAAGCTCACGTTTCGTAAGGTCTGGGAAAAATCGAAATTGTGCCCGGCAACATCGCACTTTTTTGTCATTTGCTTGTTTCCTATGGAATTTGCAACGTTTTTTGTGTTCACTGTCTCATTGGAATTATGAGTTTTTGTGTGGTTCTTTTGGCTGTTTAAGTTTCAAGAAGCATTCGAAGCTCACGTTTCGTTAGGTCTGGGAAAAATCGAAATTTTTCATGGCAACAGCGCACTTTTTTGTCATTTTCTAGTTTTTCATGGAATTTGCAAGGTTTTTTGTGTTCACTGTCTCATTGGAATTGTGAGTTTTTGTGCGGTTGTTTGGGCTGTTAAACTTTCAAGAAGCATTTGAAGCTCACATTTCGTCAAGTCTGGGAAAAATCGAAATTTTGCAGGGCAACACCGCACTTTTTTGTCATTTTACAATTTTTTATGGAATTTTCAAGGTTTTTTGTTCCCACTGTCTTATTAGAATTATGAGTTTTTCTGCGGTTTTTTCGGCTGTTAAACTTTCAAGAAGAATTTGAAGCTCACATTTCATAAGGTTTGGGACGAATTGAAATTTAGCCTGGCAACACCGCATTTCTTTGTGGTTTTCTAGTTTTTTATGGAATTTGCAAGGTTTTTTGTTTTCACTGTCTCATTGGAATTATGAGTTTTTCTGTAGTTTTCCTGGCTGTCAAACTTTCAAGAAACATTTCGAGCTCACATTTGGTAAGGTCTGGGAAAAATCGAAATTTTGCCTGGCAACACCGCACTTTTTTGTCATTTTCTAGTTTTTCATGCAATTTGCCAGGCCTTTTGCTTCCACTGTCTCATTAGAATTATTAGTTTTTATGCGTTTTTTTCGGCTATTAAGCTTTCAAGATTCATTTGAAGCTCACATTTCGTAAGGTCTGGGAAAGATCGTAATTTGGCCCGGCAACACCGCACTTTTTTGTCATTTTCTGGTTTTTTATGGAATTTTCAAGGTTTTTTGTTTTCACTGTCTCATTCGAATGATGAGTTTTTGTGTGGTTTGTTTGGCTGTTAAACTTTCAAGAAGCATTTGAAGCTCACATTTCGTAAGGTCTGGAAAAAATCGTAATTTTGCCCGGCAACACTGCACTTTTTTGTCATTTTCTAGTTTTTCATGCAATTTCCAAAGTTTCTTGTTTTCACTGTCTCATTCGAATTATAAGTTTTTGTGTGGTTTGTTTGGCTGTTAAACTTTGAAGCAGCATTTGAAGCTCCCATTTCGTAAGGTCTGGGAAAAATCGAAATTTTGCCGGGCAACACCGCACTTTTTTGTCATTTTCTAGTTTTTTGTAGAATTTCCAAGGTTTTTCGTCTCTACTATCTCATTGAAATCCTACGATTTCGCCCGGCTTTTCGGTTGTTAAAGTTTTAGGAACATTTTATAGTCCACATTTCGTAAAGTACAGGAAACGTCGCCAATTTCGCTGGCAACAGCGCTCTTTTTTCACCTACTCTGCTTCTCTGTGGTCCAATGAAGATTTTTTGTTACCACCATATTGAGGCCATCAGGCGCTGTTGCATGGTTGCAGTTGCAGCAAGCACTGGAAGTGGGAATGTCGTTAAGTTGGGGAAAATTCGATATTTGGCCGGGCAACACCGCAATTTTTTCCCTGGCCCTGATAGCCAGGGAAATGTGGAAAATTTCCCGATAAATAGTTTGAAAAGGGTTGAGAGTGTTGTGCAATTTTCCACTGGTTAAACTTTCAGTTGGGGCCGAAAAGGCCCCAACCTGGCAAACTCTGAAAAACTCGCGTGTTTCACTGGCAACGCCGCCCTTTTTTCGCAAAGTGTTGGGAAGATTTTCACGGAAGAAACTGTCGGATTTTGCCTGTAATTATCTGGAAAAATCGCACCACATCTTCAAGCGAAGAAACCTCCGTCAAAAAACGGCAAAACTGCCCCGGATGACTGGCAACGTTGCAATTTTTGCCCCATTCGCGTCCTTGCGCGGTTGCCAGTGATTTGTGTGCGGAAAAGCTCCGGGTAGAACGCAGAAATTTCCCCTTTTTTGGGGGTGAATGCTTTGGAAAATGCTCGAGCATGTTCCGACGGAAACTCCCAGATTTCTGGGCTTTGCACTTTGGCAACCTGGCAATTTTTGGCGGGCTCCTGTCCTGGGGGACCGCTGGACGATTTTTCGCGCAAAAAATCCCCTAGGGACCTGGACAATTTTCGCAGTTTTCGCTCGGTGAACATTTGCAGCGTTTCCGAGCAGTTGCTGCTGCAGTGTTGCCGCGTTTTCGAGCGGCACTGCAATGCCAGGATAATAATTCGATAATTTTCCTTTGCAGAATCCTCGTCGCTCAAATCTATGGTGATTAAGGTGCCGGAAGCGGTCCGGGCGGGCGACAGCGTCACTCTGTCCTGCCAGTACGACCTGGAGGACGTCGCCCTCTACTCAATCAAATGGTACTGGAATGAGGAGGAGTTCTATCGGTACATCCCGAAGGATTTGCCGCCCTACAAGTCGTTCCCCATGCGCTTCATCAATGTGGACGTGAGTTTTTCCGGGAAAAACTCGTGTTTTTCCAGCCTCAAACACGCGGCATTCTACGCTAACACTACTAGCGCTTAATGGGTGTCAACTGGCCGAACTAATCGGAGTCAAAGCGCGCCTATTAATGGCGCATTGTATCAACATTATCACGCGCTAATTATCCGGGTTAATTTGGCCGGAGCCCGGATTAATCCGGATGCAGCAGCGGCTTTCAATCGGGGGCTGAAACGCGACACTCTTCCCGCCTAGTGGAGAAGATCGCTCTTTTGAGTTAAGCAAGCGGTGTTGCCGGTTGTATTTCGCTGATGGGGCACCCTGGCGAGGGGTGTGGCTTCAAGGGGTTTTTGGAAATTTCGCAAAACGTTGACAAACAGGCGAGTTATCGGGTAAAGAGGGCGAGTGGCCAGGCGCGATGCCCTTTTGGCAATGGCCAGTTTTCAGAGGGGTTTTTCTCGAAACTGGGTACAAATCGGGAAATTTTGCCTGCAGTAGACTAGAAAGGCACTTCAATGCCCTGTCCAGTGGTGTCTTTGGAATTGTCCTGTGTGGACAACTGAGTGAGTTGTCCAGGAAAAAGTGCAGTGGTGACTGCAACTAGGCAAGTGCAACTTGCCAAACTTCAAAGGCGAATAACTCCGAACTGGGGGCAGCTGGCGATTTTCACATAACCTGGGATGTTTTGCGCAATTGCACGGGGTTTAAGGGGGTGTGCGCACGGTTGCCCAGTTGTCCTTATTTCAGAAGTTACAGGCAAAAGAGTGGGTGGGCGGAGAGAGGGATGGTTGCAGTCGCTCAAATTTCAAAGTCCATTCTCTCCCAAACTAGGCAAAAACGAGCTTTAGACCAAGAGCGCTTTTCTTACTGCGGGAAGACGCAAAGTGCAACAGTGGAAAAACAAAAAAAAATTTTTCCGAAAATTTAATTTTTGAAAATTTTTGGAAAATTTTGAAAAATTTACATTTTTCCTCAACTACGTTTCTTAGCCAATTAAATTGTTTTTTTCTCAGTTTCATTAGTTTTTTAAAATGTTGGAAACTCAACGAGTTAGAAGGCATAGAGTATGAGCTGGCAACGACTAAGCAACTTTGATGTTGCCAGTTTTCAAAGTCCTTTTACTCGAAACGGGGTCCAAAAACCAAAATATGCCCTGAAATATATTTGAATGCCTAATAAATTGCCTGTCCATTGCCGCTTACTGGGTTGCCACGTTGTCAAAATTGAGCGAGTTTTCAAGGAAAAGGTGCAGTGGTGACTGCAACTAGGCAAGTGCAACTTGCCAAACTTCAAAGTCCAATAACTCTGAACTGAGGGCAGCTGGCAATTTTGGCATGCCCTTAGTTTTTTTGAGAATCTGCATAAGCTATAAGGGGGTTTTTGAATTATTGCCCAGTCGGCACCATTTAAGAAGTTACAGGCAAAAGAGTGGGTTGGCGGAGAAAGAGCTGGTTTCAGTCGCTCTAATTTCAAAGTCCATTTGCTCCCGAACTAACCGAAAACGAGATTTTTAGCAAGAGCTCGTTTCTTACTAGGTGAAGACGCAAAATTCAAAAGTAAAAAAAAAGAAAAAAAAATTTGAAAATAATTTTTTTTTTATTTTTTGAAAAATTGTGAAAAATTTCCATTTTTCCTGAATTACGTTTCTTAGCGATTTTAATTATCCTTATCACAGTTTGATTCGTTTTTCAAAACGTTGGAAAATCAACGAGTTATAAACCATAGAGTATGAGTTGGCAACGACTAAGCAACTTTGATGTTTGCCAGTTTTCAAAGTTCATTTACTCGAAACAGGGTCAAAAAACCAAAATATATCCTGAAATATAGTTGAATGCCTAATAAATTGCCTGTCCATTGCCGCTTCTGAAGTTGCCACGTTGTCAAAATTGACCGAGTTTTCAAGGAAAAGATGCAGTGATGACTGCAACTAGGCAAGTGCAACTTGTCAAACTTCAAAGTCCAATAACTCCGAACTGAGAGCAGCTGGCAATTTTGACTACCCATGACATTTTTTGTAGACTTCCATCAGGTTTAGGGATTTTTTTGAATTGTTGCAACATCGGCACTATTAAAAGAGTTAGGGGCCTCAGAGTGGGTTGATACAGTGCCAGACAGTTTGTTGTACTGGCTTTGACAGGACCTCCTGCCAATCCGGGCCGAAGTTGCGTTTCAAGCAGGTGCACGCTTCTAACTCTAAAAGTACTCCCTGTTTGCCCATAACAAAAAAAAAATAAAAAAAAATTAAAAAAATTAAGAAAAAAAAATTGTAGAAAAAAATTAAAAAATGCGCAAAATGTGGCAACTTCAATTCTCATGGGTCAACCGTCCGAGGGTTTCGCAAAATTGCGCCAACTCAACGAGTTATGCGTCAGCGAGTGCAACTTGGTCTGCAGGACGTGAGTTGGACGTCTGCCCCCTTCAAGGCCCATTTGCGCCCAACGGCTGCAAGAAATCGAAATTTCGCCCCAACTAAAATTCGAAGGTCGTCAAAGAGGCAACACCGCACCGCCCCCGGAATGTCAAAATATGGACAATTAGCCGAGTTATGAGGCAAAATGCGCAGTGTTGACCTCCACTGACTCAAGCGCAACTTGGCCCAGTTCGAGCCCCAATTGCGCCGCAGCGGGGGCAGTGAGCGGTTTTTGCCAAGGACACTTTTTTGTGGCCAACCTCCGTGGGATTGCGGCAGTTTTGGAATTTTTGCCAAATATTGCGCCGTAAGGGAGTTGTGCGCCAAAAACCGCGCTGACACAGTGCGGTGAAAGTGAAACAACAGTGAAACAAGAGTGAAACAAGAGTGAAACCCCCCCAAACGGCCCATGCGAGGTGTTTATTGCTGCTTTGAGCCTACAAAGAGTTCCAGGGCGAAGCTGCCAGCTGCCGCCAGATGGCCGAGCAGCAGCACCGCCAGCGCCCCCGCCAGCTTCCCGGAGGTGACCATCCCATAGCCCATCTCGCTCTCGTACGCCTTGAAGAACTCGCGCTGGCTCTCTCGCTCCGCCTGGATCTCATCCCGCAGCCACTTGGGGATCAGCCCGGCTTCAGTGAGCCGCTGCGACACTGCGCCAAACACCCTGGTGAGCGGCGAGTTCTTCATCAGCGCCAGCCCGATGTAGTTGTTGCTGATGCACTGCTTCAACACCCGGTAGTGGCGCAGCTGCTCGCGGGGGAACCCCGCCAGGTCGGTAATGTAGGCATCGCCGATGCTCTTCACTGTGAGGGCGCTGCGCCCGTCCAGGCGCGTTTGGCGCCGATCGGCCCTCCGATAGAGCGCCGCCAGGCCGTCGAACGTGCTCGAGTTTAGCGCCCAGAAGTCGCTCTGGATGGTGCTGGACTGCAGCTGGTAGCCGACGTTGAAGTGGACCATGTCGGCGAAGCTGTCGATGACGCGCACGATCCTCGGCTGCGTCAAAATGCTGCTGCATCCGGCCGTGTAGTAGCTGTCGAACAGCAGGCCGTAGAACAAGGCGCCGATCAGAAACAGCCGCTTGGAGGTTCTGAGCGGGCGGCAGCGCGCGCTGTAGGCCGATCCTGCGGCGCACGCCTGGAGCACGTGGATCAGGGCGTCCTGCACGGACCGCCACACCCCCAAGGCCACCCCCAGCAGGCCCAGGCCTACTAGGGAGAGCAGCAGGCCCGCCCAGACCGGCCAGGAGAAGGCCTGGGCCAGGAAGGTGACCTCTGGCTGGTACCCGGCCTTGGGCACCAGGAAGGTGTAGCAGGCCTGCAGGGGGCTCAGAATGGCGTCCACGTTCCACTTGAGCAGGTTGAGCGCGTACTGCGAGCACCCGGCCAGGTCGCTCTCCCGCGCCTGCACGCTGCTGAGGCTGTCCTTCCAGGGGTTCTCGCTCAGAGGCACCGGCCGGTGCCTCTGAGCGATCCCGCTCAGCAGCTCGTTCACCCACTGGACCTCCACGCCTCTGGCCTGGCCGTCGGCCAGGTACATGAACGGCTTGCAGTCGAACAGGCTGATGCTCAGAGGGCGTTTTCTGAACGCGATCAGATCGCGGGCGCGCCAGGGGCCGGCGTCTAGCTGCCGGGCGGGCACCACCCGCCCTCGCCAGGCCGAGTAGATCTGCGCTTCTGAGCGGTTGGGGGCCAGCTGCAGCTGCAGCACGTTGAGGGCGTACGGCTGGAACATCTGGGGCGGCGCCGCCGCCTCCAGCTGCGGCTGGATGATCCACAGCGTGGAGTGGGGGCGGATCAGGTAGTTGTTCCTGCGGCTCTCCAAGTGGCGGGCCACCAGCGAGAGGTCGGCGGTGTCCAGCAGGAAGCAGTCGCAGTGCAGGGTGGCGTTGGCCAGCGGGTGGGCGCTCAGCTGAGACAGCGGCTGCACGTAGACGGGGCGCCTGATGTGGCTCAGAAGGCCGTCCAGGCCCCGGGCGGGGGCTCTGAGGTAGCACAGGGAGCTGCAGGGGGCGAAGATCGCCCCCACCAAGGCTTCCAGCTGCGCCTGGACGCTGGCCAGCAGCAGGAACGCCAGCATTTCGGCCACTCGCTGGTTGGGAACTGATTGGACGAGGCCTTGGGGGCAAATGATTGATTGTCCAGAGTTAACGAGTGTGGGTGGATCGGCAATTTTCCCCCGCCTCGTTAATTTTAATGGCGCACCTGGACGGTCTCTCCTGCCTGTCCGCCCACTAAATGGGTGCTTAAAGGCGCCGCTGCCGCTCATATGAGCCGGCGTCGACCCCATTTGCTCTGACAAGCGCGGGGGCGTTTGAAGGTGTTTTCGGATTCTGTGGCGAGTTTGTGTTGGGAAGGTGCTCAAAAATTTTCCATTTTTTTTGAAAAATTAAAAAATATTTTTTTCCTCATTTTTATATTTTGCCACGGATTTGTATCAAAAAAGTGCCCCCGATGAAAAGCTGGTTTTCGCGTGGTTTGGCAGCAAATTGAGTTTGAACTTAAAGCGCCTATAACTGTCTGACACTCTATCAACCCACTCTTAGGCCCGTAACTGCTTTAATAGTGCCGACGTTGCAAAAATTCAAAAAACTCCCTAAACCTGATGGAAGTCTACAAGAAATGTCACGGGTGGTCAAAATTGCCAGCTGCTCTCAGTTCGGAGTTATTGGACTTTGAAGTTTGGCAAGTTGCACTTGCCTAGTTGCAGTCACCACTGCACCTTTTCCTTGAAAACTCGGTCAATTTTGACAACGTGGCAACCTCAGAAGCGGCAATGGACAGGCAATTTGTTAGGCATTCAAATATATTTCAGGACATATTTTGGTTTTTTGACCCGTTTTGGAATAAATGAACTTTGAAAATTGGCAAACATCAAAGTTGCTTAGTCGTTGCCAACTCATACCCTATGGTTTATAACTCGTTGTGTTTCCAACGTTTTGAAAGACGAATCAAACTGTGATAAACATAATTTAAATCGCTAAGAAACGTAATTCAGGAAAAATGTCAATTTTTCAAAATTTTCCCTAAAATTTTAAAAAATTAATTTTCAAAATTTTTTAAAATTTTTTCGACATTTGGATTTTGCTTCCTCCCCTAGTAAGAAAGGCGCTCTTGCTAAAAATGGTGCTAAAGACGGTGCTCTTGAGCAAAAGCCCGTTTCGGCCTGGTTTGCCGGCAAATTGGCTTCAAAGTTTCCAGGAGTGCAACTGCCCCCTGCTCTGTTGACCCCCCAATTTCGCCCTAACTCCCTTAGGGGGCGCGCTGTCGCGAAAATTCCAACACTGCCGGGAACTGGGGGCCATTGCGCGCAAAAAAGGGCTGGTTGCCAAATTTCGTGCGCCTCCTCCGTTTTGGGGAAATTGGCTTTGAAGTTTTCCAAGTTGCGTTTGCTCGGTTGGAGTCGCCACTGCACTCTTTTGCCCCTAACTCGCCCCATTGTCCATCCCGCCCAAATCGCACAGCACCGTTGGGAAGCCAGATGAATTGTCCTTAAAGTTTGTAGCAGGGCTTTTTTTGCAATCTTCAACCCTCTTCGAGTAAATTGACCTTGAAAACTGCAACATCCGACGAACTTACGTATTGGCTGCCAAGGCGCACTCTACCCAGTAACTCGTTGGCTGTTCAACTTATCGCGGAAAAAATCAGACTGGGATGAAGCAAATTCAATCGGGACGCGAAACGCTTCCTACGGAAAAAATCATATCTGGACTTTTTAGAGGGGAAAACGAGCTCAAAATGCTGGAGTTCGTCTAGAGAGGCTGATTTATGGACACGCCCAGGTTCTTTGCTCGCATTTTGGCTGACAGTCTGCCTCGTTGGACGTTTCACGGTTTTTCCGGACTGAGCTGAATGTTTGCAAAATTTTTCAAATTTTTTTCAAAAATTTTCCGTTTTTTTTTGAAAAATAAAAAAATAATGTTTTCTTAATTTTTATATTTTGCCACGGATTTGGATCAAAAAAGTGCCCCAGATGAAAAGCTGGTTTTCGCATGGTTAAATTTAACTTTAGAGAAAATTTTATCTGGACCCGTTAGCCAATCCTCAAAAAAAAAGTCAAAAATTTTCAAAAAATTGAAATAAAAAAAAAATCTAAATTTTACAAATTTTGATTTTTCATCGATTTTAGGTTAAGAAAGTGCCCTTGGCAAAAAGTGCGTTTTGGCTGGGTTTCCAAGCAAACGGACTTCAAACTTACGGCGACTGAAACTGCCACTGGCTTTGTTGACGCACTCTTTCCGCCCTAACTTCTCCAAAAGTCAATATTTTTCAGAAAACCCAAAACTACCTTAACTGGCCGGCAATTATCCACGAAAAAGTCCTGAAGGGAAAATTCTGTGCGGGGCCCCGTTGTCGCACAAATTGAGTTTGAATTTTTCAACATCGCGTTTGCTCCTGTGTAGTCATCACTGCACGCTTTTCCTCAGAACTCGCTCATTTTTCAAAACGTGGCAACCGCGCCCGCACTACTGGAAAGCCAATTTGATTTGCTTTGAACTCTGTGGCAGGGCAAATGTTGATATTTCCACCCCCTTTTGAGCAAACTGCTCTTGAAAACTGGCAAACGCCCCAGCTGTGCCCTGCTTGCCAACTCGCACTCTCTGTCTCATAACTCAGTGAGTCGACACAATGGGGCAAACATTTTTAGAACCGGCAATTAAAGAAGTCAGTTTACAGCGTTCGAAAAAAATTTCGAACTTTTTTTTGAAAATTTTTTTCAAAAATTAAAATTCGAAAAAAAATTTTTTTTAATGCCAGTCGTTTACTAGTCCAATTTAGGTTAGGTCCGCGGCTGGTTTGGGAGCAAATCCACTTCGAAGCCTGGGCGGCTGAAACCAGTCCCCAATTGGTCAGCACCCTCTTTCCCCTGTAGCTGCGCCACTGATGGGAATTTTGGAAAAATTCCAAAAACCCCCTAAAGCCCATCGCTTTGGCTAAAACAAAGCTGCCGCAGCCATTTTGGCTAGCTGCCCCCACTGCTGCGCAAACCGCGCTTGAATTTTTCAAAGTGGCGTTTGCTCGGTTTCAGTCACCACTGCACTCTTTCACCCCCAACTCGCCCAATTTTCAAAATACCCCCACCCGAAAAAGTGGCCTGGACAGCCCAGGCCATCCGCTCCAACAACCATTTGAGGCAAAAACCCGAAATCCCTCTGCGTTTCCCCGTCGCGGCACTTTGAAGTCGCGCGGTTCCAAGCAGCAATGAAACGCACTCATCTAAACATTTTTATTAAACACCATCTCTACAAGGAGCGCCAGCGCCCCACTCCCGTAGCCGACCAATAGCAGCACGAATGCGCCATACAATCGGCGCGCTGTGATCGTTCGATAGTGCGCGTTCTGCGCATACGACGAGAAGAACTGCGCTTGCAGCGCACTCTTCTGGTAGATCTGCTCGTGCAGCCATTTGCGCAGCAGCCCGCTCTCCATGATGCGCATCGCCACCGTATCGAACCGGCGCTTAAAGGGCGACTCGCGCTGCAGCGCAAAGCCCATATAATGATTGCCGATGCACTCCTTCAACGCCTTGTAGTCCTTCAGTTTGTCCGGCTCAAACCCGTCCAGATCGGTGACGTACGAGTTGTCCAACGTCTTGACTGTCATCGCTGTCAAACCGTCCAATGGCGTGCTGGAGCGGGGCTGGTTGCTGTGCAACCGCGCCAGCCCCCTAAACAAACTGGAATTGACCAAGTCAAAGGCGGCAACGATGCCGGACTGTTCCTGGAACGTGATTCCATAATCGACCAAATCCTGCAGCGTGTTGATCTGTCTGATCAGCTTCGGCACGGTCAGCGTGCTGCTCAGACCTGCTGAGTAGTAGGTCGAGATCAGAAAGCCGTGAAAGAGGAGGAAGAGAAAGTAGATGCGGGCGGGGCAGCTGGCAAGGTTGCCGCCTGTTACAAAAACACCGCCAGCCGAGTAGAGGCGCAGCACATCGAGCATTGGCGTGATCCAGGCGGAGGCTCCGCCCCCTGCAGGCCACGCCACCAATAGGAGACGGCCGACGGCCCCGAATCCGACCGCGCCCAGCAGCAGGCAAAGCCACACCCGCCCACTGAACGCCTCGATTAGAAAGTGCACGTCTGAGGACGGACGCGCTTTCGGCACCAGAAACGTCTGGCAGATCTGGTTTTGGTTGACGGTGAAGTCGATGCTGTGCCGCCATTGGTTGGCCACATACTGCGAGCATCCGGCCATGTCCACCTCGTTTCGCTTGACCAAATTGAGCGCCTCTGCCCAAGGGTTTTCTGCCGAAAAAAAAGGCTTCTGATCCTTCTGATCCTTCTGAGCAATTCCTGCCACTGACAATCCAAATGCACATAGCCATGAGCGCACAGCAACAAGATTACTGATTTGGTCTACAGTTGCTCAAGGGCCTTCTGAGCAGCTGCTGCAGACTCAGAAATGCGCTCACGTTCACAGTCCGAACACTCGCCAAGATTTAAAAGTGAAAAAACTCAGCTGAATTCAAGTTTTTTCACAAAATTCGCTCAAAGGGCCTCTGAGCATCATCTCTGAGGCCCATGCAGCTGGTAAAATTTCTGCGATAACCACAAGCTAATGATGAAAACCCAACATTTTAGGTGCCAAACAGCGATTTTTTAAGGGAAATGCCCCTTTGAAGCCTCTGAGCCACTCCCGCTGCTCCAGACCGTCTGTTCCAGTGACAGAAAAAACTCAGAAATATTCCAAAAAGCAAAACAGTTTGTACTTAATTAGCTTCAAAAGCTTCTGAGCCTGCTTAACTGCTAGAAAAAACTATTTCTTGAGGCAAATTTGCCTGAAAGGCCTCTGAGCTTCTCCTCCTGCTAACAATATAAGGCAAAATGCCCTTGATCGCTCAAACATAAGTCTATTGACTGCAAGTTATCCGATTAAATTTCACCTTTTTGGTCTACAGTTGCTCAAGGACCTTCTGAGCAGTTGCTCTAAATCGTCACAAAAAAAAAAAAAAAAAATCAGCCCCAAACAAAATCGTTCGGTACTGAATTCGCATCAAGGGCGTCTGAGTCTGTTTAACTGCTCTAAAAACCAATTTGTGCGACTTCTGAGCAATTTACTGATGTCGCCGCAGTCAAATTAAAAACTATTTTCCCTTCTATTCTAGCGAAAAACTATTTTCCCAGGCAAATTTGCCTGAAAGGCTTCTGAGCTTTTCCTCCTGCTAACCATCTAAATCGAAATCAGAGACAAGTTTATTGACTACAAGTTTTCCGATAAAATTTCACCTTTTTGGTCTACAGTTGCTCAAAGGCCTTCTGAGCAATTAGTGCAGCCCCACACACGCGTTTAACTTTGCCCTCAGAATACTCAAAAATTGGCTCAAAGGGCTTTTGAGCATTTTTCCTGCAGCAAAGCCAACTGCACCACAAGCAGATGATGAAAACCCAAAATTTTAGGTGCCAAACTGCCTTTTTTGAGGCTAATGATCCTTTGAGCCTTCTGAATACTTCCTGCTGCTAAAAATCCGCCTATGACTCAATTTGGTCGCCGCTAAACAATGTATGCAAAAGAAATTGCGCCGATTTAATTAAACATTTTTTGGACGCCATTGTTCAGCAGGCTTCTGAGCCATTCCTGCTGCTCCAGAACCGATGTTCAACTCAGGATTTAAACACTCAAGAAATACTTCCGAAAGGAAAATTTTCAGCCTAAATTGAAATGTTTTATATTCAAACTTGTTCCAAGGGCTTCTGAGTCTATTGGACTGATAGAAGAGCCAACTTGCCCGATCTTCTGAGCAGTCCCAGTCAAATCAACAACAAAAACCAAAAGACGACTCAGAGACAGTAGAAATTGAAAAACTTTCAACTCCATTTAGAGTCGTTGGTTCTTCAAACTGCTTTGGGGCTTCTGAGCCGCTACGGACGCAAAAAAATTACGTGAAATCTCATCGACAAACGCCTACTAAACCAAAATTTGCCAGTTTAGCACACCAATCAAAAGTCCTCTGAGACAGCTCTAAAAGCTTCCGAGCAAATGTATTATTTACATTAAAATCCAAACAAACAATTTTGGAGGTTTCAACCTTTGAGTTTTTGGAGCAAAACCTTTGGGGCTTCTGAGCCACCACTACTGTTTGCGAAACATTTCAGCCAAAGCCGCTCAAAACGCTTAAGAAGCCAGTTTTTTGCGAGTTGGGCACGCCAGACAGCAGGGGCTCCCTGAGCCCGCTCAGAAGGCTTCTGAGCAAAATTGCCACTTTATCCTTAGAAACTCGAAAAACTTACTCAGACGCACTAGTGTGGAATAACGGGGGTTTTTAGCAGGCAGCTCAGAAAACTTTCTGAGCAAATCCTCCGAAAAGGTCTAGTACTCAGCTCACCTGTGGTAGCATCAGCAAAGACAAAGCGCAAAGGCAAACCTCTGGTCATCTCCAAGGCTAGATTGATCTCAGGCCCTCCCCTGATCCGCTTATTCTGAGCCAGAATGAACGGTTCGCATCCAAAGACCGCAAACTGAAATGTGTAGTTAAATTGTCGGGCAAAAGCCGTCGGCTCCCACTCTTCCTGCGCGAATCCTGCCTCATCGAGGAAAAACTCCGTTTCCGTCAAATTCCACTGGAAAATCACCCGATTTGCGCTGAGTCTTCTGAGCCTGAGCGCGTCGCCCGGCATTTCCACCTCGACCACATCCATGGCATACAGCCCGAGCAGCTCCTGCAGGTGAATCTGAGCGGCGCGCTCATAGACAACGGCTATGCGCCTGTGCGGCTTCAGAACGCCATAGCGGACGGTTCTGAGGCGCAGGTAGCGCTGGACGACGCCCACGTCCTTGACGCTCAGAACGAAGCCTTGACAGCTGCGCTCCATCTTGAGCAGAATGGAGGCGTTCTGATACTGCACCATGGTGACGGGCAGCGAGAGGAAATGAGCCAGCTGGAGTGAGTCGCTCTGGAAAATGTAGCACAGTGAGGAGGCGTTGGGAAAGAGGAGGCTGAACAGCCGCTTGAACAGCTCAGAAGGCAGTGGCTCTGAGGCGGAAATGTTCCACCCATCCGCGCCATGAAGCAGCAGCCCGAACAGCAGGAGGCAGCAGGAGACTGCCATTCTGGACAGTTTTACCTGGATTACTGGCCTTCTGAGCCTCGGGATCAAAGAAACCCGCAACCCGGATTAAATTACAAGCAAGAATCGCTGATTAAAAGACATCGAACTTTCCGGGCATATAAATTGGACAATTTCCAGCGCGAGCGTGTCGGAATCGATTAGGATCTGGACGGGACGTCCAGTCATTATCCGGGCTAATAAACACGCTCAAAGTGGCTTAAAAACCGTATAAAAGTCACTTGATACATTGATAAATAAGCGGCGATGTCCCGTTTGTGGCGCCGCAGGATTTGCTCAGAAACGTCAAATGGCTCAGACATTTTCAGCCTCTACAATAAATCGCCAAGGCCTCAAACGCATCTTCCGTGGCCGGAAAGTTATGGTTTTTAAAGCAGGAACGGCTCAGAAGGACCTGTGTTGCTCAGAAGCCCTAAACCTTTACCAACAACACTCACATTTTACAACAAATGCAGAAAATCCACCCTGTAGGTCTTAAAAGGACTCAAAACTACGCTTTTTCGCAATATTGCAAGTGCAATTTAAACCTGTATGAAATTCTCAGAGGCTCCTGCGCTCTATCAATATCAGTCGGGTTTTCTGAGAGCTTCCAGTGAACTGAGTGGTTATTTTCCAGCTGCAGGGATGGCTCAGAAGCCTCTAACATACTGAAACCACTATTTTTTCCCCAAATATCCGATGATTTTTTTTCTTGAAACTGTTTTATGTTGCAGAGCGGATTCGCTCAGAAGCCTTTTGAATGATTCGCATGCAAAAATCTTGGTCATTGCAAAAGATTTGCGAGTTTGTTGTGTCAGAGGATGGAGAAACCGTGCAGCCGGGACGCATTTGATCAAAACTGATGCTGCAGGAATTGCTCAGAAGCCCCTGGCGTTAGCTCAGACAGATTCACGGTGTCTCTAGTCCGGAAACTGAATAGCAGTCGAGTTTTCTGAGAGTTTCCAGTAAAGTGAGTGGACATTTTCCAGCTGCAGGAGTGGCTCAGAAGCCTCTAACATTCTGAAACCACTATTTTTGCCCCAAATATCCGATGATTTTTTTCTTGAAACTATCCCCACTGTTTTCTGTCGCAGAGAGGATTGGCTCAGAAGCCTTTTGAATGATTCGCAAGCAAAAATCTTGGTCATTGCAAAGGATTTGCCAGTTTGTTGTGTCAGACGATGGAGAAACCGTGCAGCCGGGACGCATTTGAGCAAAACTGATGCTGCAGGAATTGCTCAGAAGCCCCTGGCGTCGACTCAGTCCGATTGACGGTGTGTCTAGTCCGGAAACTGAATAGCAGTCGAGTTTTCTGAGAGTTTTCAGTAAAGTAAGTGGTCATTTTCCAGCTGCAGGAGTGGCTCAGAAGCCTCTAACATTCTGAAACCACTATTTTTGCCCCAAATATCCGATGATTTTTTTCTTGAAACTATCCCAACTGTTTTCTGTCGCAGAGAGGATTGGCTCAGAAGCCTTTTGAATGATTCGCAAGCAAAAATGTTGGTCATTGCAAAGGATTTGCCAGTTTGTTGTGTCAGACGATGGAGAAACCGTGCAGCCGGGACGCATTTGAGCAAAACTGATGCCGCAGGAATTGCTCAGAAGCCCCTGGCGTCGACTCAGACCGATTCACGGTGTGTCTAGTCTGGAAACTCAATAGCAGTCGAGTTTTCTGAGAGTTTCCCGTGAAGTGAGTGGTCATTTTCCAGCTAAAGGGGTGGCTCAGAAGCCTCCAACTAGTGCTTAGGGCCGGAAAACGTAGTTTTCGCTCTCGCAGCAAATTCCCGATAGTTGCAGGCGCAATTTCCTGCTGATTGGCAAACTTGCCACTCGGCAACTAGGCAATTTTGCAAACCGTGAACTTTCCTGCCGGTTGAAAGGGCGAAAGTCGCCCCCTTAGCAGCAGCAGCAGGAATTTCCCTGCAAAACTTTTCCGATAGATTTATCGGTCCGATTAGCGTTATGGGGGCGCGCTCCCGACTCAGATGGGACAATAACGATTACAACTTAGCTTTTCGTCTGCAGGCCATCCGCCAAACTGGCTCATATTAGTGGAATATGTGGGAAAATGCCCACATTAAACTGAAGATTCGCCTACTATGTTTAATCACAACGTACACAGTTCTGGCGTTGACACACTTTTGACACTTTTGACACTCGTGACACTTTTGACACTTTTGACACATTTGAGACTTTTGACACATTTGACACTTTTGATAGTTTTGGCGTTTGTTGCAGCTGTCAACGTCAGGCGAGCAGAATGTGACGTTGCGTCACGTGCAAAGACAGTTGACGGGCGATTACAAGTGCGAAGTTTCGTCCGATGGGCCGCTGTTTCACACGGAGATCCGAGTGGCGCACTTGATAGTAGCAGGTGAGTGACGGCGTTTCGCCCTTGCGGGCCTCATCAGACGCGCGGAAAATCGATGGCAAGCGACGCCCTCCATTTGTGAATGTTCNGGGGGGGTCGACAGCCCAAAACCGGGAACTTGACTGTCAGACCGGGAGCCGAAACATAAATTCCCTAATCCATTAGGAAATTACATTTCCATACAATTTTCCATTTCGGGCGTTTCGCCGGGGCAAAAAGAGGTTATTACTTAAATACGCAACTACGGGATTACTAACCTGTTTAAGTCGCATGAGGAGCCTCCGCGTGGCGCAAAAAGAGTGGGCCATTTGGGGCAGAGTGGATGGCGCACTTTTTGCCGCCCGCACGAGCTCAGGGGATTTGCGGCCCGTTTGGGCTCGCTGATGTGTTTAAAAATCGTGGTTTTTTTCTCCCCAATTTTCCAGACCTGCCATTGGACGATCCGGTGCTGAACATTCGCGACACCAAAGTGGAGGTGGGCAAACCGATCAGGTTGGAGTGCACGCAGTCTGGCTCGCATCCGGCGGCCAACATCAGCTGGTTCATCAACAACAAACAGGTGAGAACATTGACGAACGTTCGCGAACGTTTTTGCAGAACGAACTTTCCAATAGGCGAGTGATTAATGCGCCATTAGCCAATTTGAGGATGCGGGCAATTGATGGCGCAATTTTGCAGCCGTAAATAATGCGGCCGATAGATGGCAGCCCGCGCGCGATAAATTACCATGATATTGTCCAATAAGTTATTTTTATTGTTGCGCAAAGTCCATAAACAATGGCCGGCAGTGTTTGCTGATGGATTTCGGGTTATCGATGTGCGATTTATCGGTTGGCGAGCTGGAAAACGGGCTTTTTTGCACCAGCTTCCCCCACCTCGGTCACATTTTGTGTCCCGATGGGGCGTGCCATCTCGAAAAATTATCTGGGACGCGCTTTTTGCCAAAAACATTCGCTTGGCGCCAATTGGAGACTTTTCTGTTTGTGACACTCGATGTATAACCTCAAATATTTCCGCAACTGGACCCGATGCAACTTSCGTTACTWGTCCAGGGGCAAGAGCATCCTTTCCTCTACATAACCTCRAAATTTCACTGACATCCCTCCATGGGGGCTTGGGCTGGRAACATTTTWAGTCGGCCAGAAYARGACAAGTTTGCGTTTCTGACACTCGATGTATAACCTTCAATAACTCCGAAACTGGACGTGACCGAACTTTCGTTGCTCAACCCCAGCAAAGAGGCACTTTTCCTCCACCCAACCTAAAAATTTCAATGCGACAGCTCCACTGGGCACTTTGCTAGAATCAGGTTTACTCGCTCAGAACGAGGCAAGTTTCCGTTTCTGACACTCGATGTTTAACCTGCAGCATTTCCGAAACTACACCTGATCGAACTGTCGTTGGTCAACCAGAGGAAAGTGGGTCTGTTCCTCCACCTAACCTAAAAATTTCATTGCGATTGCTCTGTTGACCACTTTGCTGGAAGCCTTTTTATTCGCCCGTGACCAGACAAATTTCCGTTCCTGACACTCGATGTATAACCTTCAATAACTCCGAAACTGGGCGTGATCGAACTTTCATTGTTCACCCAGTGAACAGTGAGGTTATTCCTCTACCTAACCTGAAAATTTCACTGCTACGAGCCCATTGAGCACTTGGCTGGAATAATGTTTCTTCGCCCAGAACAAGACAAATTTCCGTTTCTGACACTCGATATATAACCTTCAATAACTCCGGAACTGGGCGTGATCGAACTTTCATTGTTCATCCAGTGAACAGTTGCCCTTTTCCTCTACCTAACCTCAAAATTTCACTGCTACGACCCCATTGAGCACTTGGCTGAAAAATGTTTTCTTCGCCCATAACCCATGAAAATCTTTTGCCTACAAACTGGTCCAGCGAAGTTTCCATTGGAGCTGAACAGGATTTTCCTTGTTCTTGACACTTGACATATAACTTTCAAAACCTCCAAAACCAGCCGAGTTGAAGTTTCAATTTCCTCGCCAAAATGGGGTTGAAATATCTGGCTTAGACAACCTTTGAATCTCGATTGCTGTGGCCTGACTTCGGCTTTTGACACTCGACATATAACAGTCAAAAGCGCCCAAACCAGGGGAGGTAAATTCCAAATTTTTGTGCCCTTTTGCGGTGCGTCTATTGCCCAACACAACCTCAAAAGCTCATTAAAATAGCTCCCTCATGCACTTTTCCGGAACGGTTTCTGCTCAAACCCAACCAGGCTAATGGGCCATCGTGACACTCCACATATAACACCCAATTTTCCCTAAACCAGCCAAGGAAAAATTTCCATTTTTTGGAATTATATAGAGCGTGCTTTCCTTAACAGAGTCCCAGAAATTCATCAAAATTGAATTTCTGACAACCGATCTATAACAGCTAATATCTCCCAAACCAGCCGAGATGGAGCTTCAGTTTTTTTACCCTTTTAATGGGTTTCCTTTACNNNNCCCGGTTTTTTCAGGGCTCACTAATTTTTCCAGAATTTGAGCGCGCTGCTGTTGCTCCACATACGCTCCAAGATTCGCCCACTTTAGTGGGAAAAATGAAATTTTTATTTTGTGACAATCGAAATATACCAGCCAATATTTCCCGAACCAACCGGGCAAGAGCCCCGATTTTTCCTGCCGGTTCAAAAGCGCTCTTTGCTCCACTCGTTTCCAAAATCAACACCCACCTAAACCCCATGGGGCGCGTGTATGGGGCGAGTTTCCAGTCGCCTGCGCCCATTTCTGACACTCCACCTATAACAGCCGATATCTCCGCAACCGGAGCCGGTAGAGCCGCGATTTTTTCACGAATATTCCTCCTAACTGTCCCAGAGCCAACGCAGGCGCTTATTAAGCCCCCGAAAGGACCAGGGGGCCTAAATCTGGCAGCCTGGGCGGCTGCCCCGGCAGAAAAGTTCCCAGGTGGATTTCATCCGGTAATCGAGTCGCTTACACGGCAAAATTACGTGTTAATGTCACGGAATGTCTCACGGTCGCACACATGGCTGCTTTAATGGGATTATAAACTATTCCTAAACTAATTAAACTTGCGGTGTGGCGCACAAGGGGTGGCTTAACGGGGGTGGGGGCGCGAAAAATGCGCCGGAAGTTTGCGGCAAATTTTCTCCAGTGAGTGTTTGGTTTGTTGCAGGTCAGCGACAATTCGGACTTCATTTCGATTCAGGCGACCGAAGTGGGGCGGGATGAAGGCGACTTGCAGTCGGCCCGATCGAGAATCTCGATCCTCACCAATAAATCGCACTTTAATCAGAGCGCGATGACGATCCGATGCGAGGCCTCGATCTACAAGATCTGGAAACGATCAGTGGAGAGCACGATCAGAGACGATTCGCCGAAATTGGCGCAGGTGTTGGGCTCCACTCTGTCGCAGAGCCAAAAGGATCCGATTTTAGGTAGGCGAACGTTGCGGGGCCGCTTCGATATGCGCCTGTTTGATCAGGCGGAAAGACAGACGGGCGTTTTCAAGCCGCATTGTTTGCGGCAAATACTGCAGACAACTATTTCCTCTTGTTCATCAAATTAATCATATTAAACACYGGCGTATTTCCGTACCGTCAGCCCGATCTAATTAACCACGATTATTAAGTTGTTGGCAAGCTGGCGCAGAGAACAAACGCGCCCGAATCCGATCCYACGAACAAAGMGGACAAATTCATAAATAAATGCGCTTCAAGTGGCGCTGGATGGCGCGTGCCTTTTCACCGCTCGCTTTGTAATTAACTCTTTAGCCAATCGGGGCCCCAAACGGATTTTTCGACAAAAAATTTTTTTTCTTCTGACCGACTTTTTCATCTTGACACTCCACATATAACCTCGCATATCTCCGAAACCAGACAATGCAAAATTTTCGTTTGTACGTCATTGTATCGAGCGTCCTTTGCTTAATTTAACCTAAAAATTTCATTGTAATATCTTGTCCAACTTGATCTCCAGACAGGTTCATGTTCCATCAGAACCGATCAAATTTTTGTTCTTGGCACTCCACATATAACACTCAAAATCTCCAAAACTAGCCTATATAAAAAAAACTTTTTCATGTCGTTTGAAAGGGCGTCCTTTGTTTAGTTTAACCTAAAATTTGCATTGGCATATCTTGTCCAGCCTGATGTCCAGCCAAGTTTATGTTCCAGCAGAACCGATCAAATTTTTGTTCTTGACACTCCACATATAATACTCAAAATCTCCGAAACTAGCCGATATAAAAAAATGTTTTTCATGTCATTTTAAAGGGCGTCCTTTGCATAGTATAACCTAAAATTTGCATTGGAATATCTTGCCCAGCCTGATCTCCAGCCAAGTTTGTGTTCCAGAAGAACCAATCAAATTTTTTTTTACACTCAACATTTAACACTTTTTATCTCTGAAACCGGCCGATGTAAAAACATTCCCATTCATGTCATTTTAAAGCGCGTCCTTTGTTTAATTTAACCTAATAATCGCATTGGAATACCTAGTCCAGCCTGATCCCCAGCCCAGTTTATGTTCCAACAGAACCGATCAGATTTTTGTTCTTGACACTCCACATATAACACTCGAAATGTCCAAAACTGGCCGATACAAAACTTCCTTTTTCATGTCATTTTAAACGTCGTCCTTTGTTTAATTTAACCTAAAAGTTTCATTGGAACATCTAGTCGAGCCTGATCTCCAGATAAGTTTATGTCTCAGAAAAACCAATCAATTTTTTCTTCTTGACACTCAACATTTAACACTTCATGTCTCTCAAACCCGCCGCTATAAACATTTATTTGTCATGTCATTTTAAAGGGCGTCCTTTGGTTAACTTAACCTAAAAATTGCATTGGAATACCTTGTCCAGCCTGATGTCCAGCTGAGTTTATGTTTCAGCAGAAACGGTCAAATTTTTGTTTGTGACACTCCACATATAACACTTAAAATCTCCAAAACCCGCCCGTATAAAAGTTTCTTTTTCATGTCATTTTAAACGTCGTTCTTTGTTTAATTTAACCTAAAAGTTTCATTGGAACATATAGTCAAGCCTGATCTCAAGATAAGTTTATGTTCCAGAAAAACCAATCAAATTTTTCTTCTTGACACTCGACATTTAACACTCCGTGTCTCTCAAACCCGCCGATATAAACGTTTATTTTTCATGTCGTTTTAAAGGGCGCCTTTTAGTTAACTTAACCTAAAAATTGCATTGGAACACCTAGTCCAGCCTGATCTCCAGTCAAGTTTATGTTCCAGCAGAACCGATCAAATTTTTGTTCGTGACACTCCACATATAACACTCAAAATCTCCAAAATCTGCCCATATAAAACTTCATTTTTCATGTCATTTTAAACGTCGTTCTGTGTTTAATTTAACCTAAAAGCTTCATTGGAATATCTAGTCGAGCCTGATCTCCAGCCAAGTTTATGTTCTAGCAGAACCGATCAAATTTTTGTTTGTGACACTCCACATATAACACTCAAAATCTCCAAAATCTACCCATATAAAACTTTCTTTTTCATGTCATTGGAAACGTCGTCCAGTGTTTAATTCAACCTAAAAGTTTCATTGGAATATCTAGTCGAGCCTGATCTCCAGACAAGTTAATGTTCCTGCAGAACGGATCAAATTTTTGTTCTTGACACTCCACTAATAACACTCAATATCTCCTAAACCAGTTGAACGAAAACTTTAATTTTTCTGACGTTTTAAAGTGTCACCCTCTCCCAACATAACCTGCAAAACTCATTAAAATCGATTGACTATTCACTTCCCCAGGAAGGTTTATGTTGGAGCTGAACCAATCGAACTTTTTGTTTGACACTCGACATATAACACTCAATATTTCCGAAATTAGTGGACGAAAAATTCCGATGTTTTTCCCATAACAAACAGGAATTCTTCCCAAAAAAAGTTTTTCCGGAAAAAATATAAAAAAGTCCCGCAAATGTCCACCTTGACAGAAACCCTCAATAACTCCAAACAATGACAACAGCCACATCGGCCAAAAAGTCAACCTCGGCATGAAAACACAAAATAAATCGCTATTTAATCATCGCCACTATAATGTATGCACAAAACTGCACTCAGAAGGTCTGAGGCTCAGAAGCCCTTTAGTGGTTTTCTCCACACAAAACGCACCTTTTGTCCACCCAATTAGAGATTTTCATTTAAGAAGCGTGTTGAAAACCACACTTTAATTGGCGGAATTCAAGAAGCAAGTGGGTTACGTAGTATGAGCTTCAGAGCTCAGAACCTCTCAAGGATTCTGAGTTAAAATATCTATATTGGCCATGAGTAAAAGACTTTGGACCGAGCTCAATTCACGTGAATTATTGTAGGTGACACAAAACGTTAAATAGGGCCAAAAGCCTCAGAAGTCCTGGGGCTCAGAGCCCCTTTGTCGCAATCAAAAGCGTTGTTAACCCATTTCAATCACGTGATCCATAAACTGCAAACAAGTTAACCCATTTGATTATGGAACTATTTTAAGAACCCTTTAGAGATTCAGAGCTCAGAAGCCCTCGATAATTTCGGTTCAGAATCAGCAGGAAACAGCATTTGCATTAAGACCTGGGCCAGTAGTCGGCAGCAAAATTCGTCTCAAACAAAAAACCGATTGAATATCAGAAAAGTCAAAAATTCCTCAGAAGCCCTGCAGTTCAGAACCCCCCAAATGCCACTGAACAGAGCTCCTAATGCATCCTGGATAAATGAGCTCAAAACCACGAACCAGTAGAGGCAATTGAACAATCAACTAAGAAAAGTACTCTGAGCGTAAAGGCTCAGAAGCCCTCAGAATTTTTTTGCTAAGTTACAAGTAACTTTATTGGTGCACACAACATGGGAAAACACTAAATTGGACTCAAACTTTGCAATCTGCGCGGCTCAGAAAACCCCCAAAATTTTGAAAACGCTGCTCAGAAGACTAGGGTAACTATTAGGGCAACCAACAACTAGCTTCAGAACCTCCAGTATTCGACCCGTTTTGCTCAGAGAGCCTGAGGCTCAGAAGCACGAACAGTAGCTCAGATGAGACGAACATTTCGCGTATAACAACTTCAGATACATTGACCATTCAATCAAAATTTAGTGGCTCAGACAGCCAAAACGCACGCGCTCAGAAACCCTTTTCTGTTCCAGAACCGGCAAACAGCGCCCCCTGGACGACACGCCACGCCCACTGGACAGTGTTGCTCGGTTTGGTGTGCGCAACAGTGGCATGCCGATGACTCGAGTGAACGCGTAGTGAGTTGGTGAACTGCAGTGCTTCAACCCATCGCTAGAGGGCGGTGCATGCGACAGACGTGCCACTGTCATTTAAGCGACTGTCAAAACCTGCATTGTTAACCTTAACCTAAAAAAAATCAAAATAAAATGACACAACGAAGTTCAGTATGCACCGTCTTCGGGCTGGGCTGTTGAGTTTGTTTGGTCCCTTCCTGCCACCGTATTAATGGAAATTCGGGCAATAATACTCAGTTACTATCGTAAATGTTCCCCACATTGTAAAAAAATAGCCTTAGGGTGTATACACAGATGTGATCGATGTATATATGTAAAGACTATTACATGGTTGTATTCCTTTGCCGCTAGGGGGCGTGAGCAGCGTGGAAAGGGGCGGGGTCTAGGTTCACCTAGCAACCTCGGTTGTTTGGCTTGGGTTGCCAGGGGCGTTGCTAGGAGTCTGTCACACGTCAACCGATGACATTCCGTGTCCCTTTCAGCGACATCTCACCGCTCGCTCGCAAACTAATTGATGTACAGGGGATTTTCCGTAGATGTTAAGACTGTAAATGGCTCAAATAACGAAAAACGAATAACACTATTCCTAAACCCCCTTGAAAAAAATTTAGAAAACGAATATTATGGAAAACACTTCGTCAATATTTAGAAACTAAACGTTTATCTGAATGTTTGTTGTTAAATCTGGTGTACTGGTTAATTGATGAATAAAGATTTCTATAGAAATGCGATGGCTTTCAAACAATGCACACCCAAACACCCACGGCGCCGTTGTTGCCAAATTTCCAAAGTGGCATGGAGAATCACTTAACCGAGAAAATCGAATTTTCACAGTTCAAAAAACCGTCCAAATGAAATCGCGATTGAGTGATTTTTTATCGGGATTTTCTATTTGGCAACCACGCAAATCGAATCAGCGATTTGTCCACAACAGCAACAACAACCACATCAAATCGCCGCATTTTCCAATTAAAATAAACAAATAGAGCTGATGTTTGTCTGTGTATTTTTCCGGGCGATTTTTCGTTTGGTGTGCGTTTGCTGGCGCTCTTGCGGTGGCGCCATCTGGAATAAAATTGCCGGTTTYGATTGGGGAAATTGCGGAAAATGTGGTYAGTGTGAAGAAACAATTGGAGAAAAAWTTMGAAAGAAAAATGGCAACGYKCAMTT